CTGATTAACTGTTGATTCATCTCTGCCTTTTTTTTGTGCCTCCGATCCATTCTTATAAGCTCCAGCTGTCCGTCCGTTTTAGCTTTCGTTGTTGATGAATTGGATTTTGTGGAGGATAGACATATGCATGCACTTCCTAATGCCCGCTGTAATGCATTTTCACATTATTCATCTGTGCAAAAACTGTGAAACTTGGAGGGCTTGCCGCGTTTACTTTTTATGCTAACATAAAATCGCATTTATGAGCACAATATGTGTTTATAATGCTTAGAGAAGTAAAAATAACTGGGAAAAGTTCTTGCACGCATGCTACACACGGGCATTTATTTTGTAAATTGCAGAACATTCATGGCCGAAGTGAAAAATCGAATCGAGAACTCGAATTTGTGTGAGGAGTTTGATTGGACTCAAACTGAGATCATTCATGCAGCTCGAGTGCCGATACTGCACCTACAAACACGTAATCATATGCAAGTTGATATTCAGTTCGAGAAATATGCATCAATTAGGAATACTCATTATGTCCGTCACTGTGTTCAGGTATTGTGTTTTTCACATAATTTTGGTCACCTGCGCGTCCCAGTTTAACTTGTTTGTTTCATTTTTGTTTTAGCCAGTGCATTTTTAGCCAATGCACACATGCATTGTTCACGTTTAGAATCATCTTTAGACATCCCGTGCTGTCTTATAACTCATAAAACATAAGGAATTGGCAAGGATTCGAAGACAAAACCAAATTTCACCTTTTGGCATCTCTCCTTTATATGCCTTTCGGGAGTTGTTGTCCAGGATTGACTCCTCAATTTAATTCTAAGCCGGGTATCTGCTTTTTCCTCATTCTTGGCAGAACTAGCTCCAGTGCCTCTGTTTTCCTTTCCATGCTCACTGCCAAACTGCTCCTTTTAGCGCTTGGAGTTAGTTTATTGCCAAAAAAAGCTTTGCCTTATGTCATAACCATTAGTTCATTGCCGCTTGCTGGTTGAGCCAACAGTGGCTGGTATCGCTCATCTTCCATAGACAAGAAAACGGCCATTTCTATGGATTCCGAAAAATTGGGACGTTTACATATTAAAATAACAATTACAAATTTGATGAAGTGCAGCTCAGACAGCAATGTTTGAGAACCTGCGGTCTACTCTTCCAGTCCAACAAATTTGCGCCTGGTTTCTAGTGGAATTCCATCACGATACTTGTTTTGGGCGCTGATTATCTGAAAAAACAAATTTTAGCAGGATGCGCGGGTTGCTTTGCTCAATATGTGGGCACAAAAATGGTTGGAATCAAAAAAGCTTAAGGATAGTAAACACGGTTTATTCTCGACTTATCACGTGCTCATGCTGGTACTGCACTTTTTGCAGGTATGTGTGAAGTGTAGTTTTGGTCATAAAGCTTTCAGTGAGGTAGGAATTTTAGGTCCAAGACTAGTTCTGAGGTGACTCCAAAAATCCAGTCCTCAAAGACGTATCGTTTTGGTCACTTTTGGCGGAGTTGACATTTTTGGGATCCATTGTTTCCAGGATTTTTTCTTTTCATTATAGCACGGTGCATTATATATATTTTTTTCAGTGCACGGGTTCTTATGGTATTCAGCCAGTTCTTCCTGTAGTATTCAAAAAATTCAAAGAGAGCCTGCGGCCTTCGCTTCCAATTCAACAAATAGCTTTAGCACTGTCTGGAAAGCCTGTATGTGCATTTTAATATCTTTTCGTCTGTATTTTTTGTCGCATTTTCGTAACTTGTTTTAAAATATGGTACTTTTGCATTCACGTTTACTTCTGGGAGAACTGTGTTTTAGAAAAGTATGA